CGGGGGCGGCCGGGGTTGCAGGGCCGGGGTGCGGGTGCGGGGGAGCGGGTGGGCTGGCGGGGCGGAGGCGCGGGCCCGGGGGGGCGGGGCAGGGGTGCGGGCCTAGGGGGGGGGGGCTCGCGGGGCTCGGGGGGGGGGGGGCGGGGGGGGGGGGGGCGGGGTTAAGCGGGCCCCGCGGCGGGGATCCGGGGGTGATACCACTACCCCGGCTTGGGCCGCGGGGATACCCGCCTGACAACCTTGCCCGAGGGTGACAGGTTACTGTTCCACCAACTTAGGGAGAGACAGCAGCAGCAGTGGCGAGCTAGGGAAGCAGAGGCCATCAGGGCGTTCGCAAGCGAAGCCGCTGCTTCAGCAGCCATGGCAACTGTTGCGCAGCAGAGTTCCCAGGCCAGCAGTTCAGGGACCGTAGGGTCAACGATTGCGCAAACCCTGAGTCAGTCCACTAGCGTTATGGCAAGCCAGCCAATAGTGTTGACCCCTGAAGAGGTCGCCATACAACAAGCTGCACTTCATGAGGCACAACTAGAAAAGGCTTTAGGAGAGAGAAAAGCGGAGAAAGAGAAGATGATTAGAAGAAGAGTCAGGATGCAGCGGAGACAAGCGGATATTAGTGAGTTAGAGGCGATGGACCTGACAGAGATGGATGATGATGTGAGGACCCTGAGGACAATTTTGCTAGGTGTAGTAGAGATGCAAGATCACCAAATGGCGCTCTTACAGGACATCCAGCAGAGCCTGGGCGTGTTGGTCGGGCGAGCTCAGGCGGCGCCATCACCATCAAGGCCTGGTGCCTGGCCCGTGATACAACCTCCTCCTTTTGTCCCACTGGTGATTGGGGTATCCCCATATGCCTCTCCAGCATCGGTCCAAGCCATTTCCCTAGTTATGCCTCGAACAGGAAGGTTCTCAGCAGGTCCTAGTGTGCAGGTTCCCGTACAGACAGTGTATTCCCAACCTCCGTCGCAGGTTGCCGTAACTGGGCAGCTTGTTGTCTCGCAATCTGCACAACAACAGGTAGTGCAGCAGCCTGCGCAGCAGGGTCCACAGCCCAGAGTGGGACAGGTACCGGGACAAGGTCAGTGGGTCCCAAAGACGGCCATCGCCTCGACTAAACCCTTTTCAGGGGACAAGAGGGACGAAGACCTCGACACATGGTTGAGGTCAGTGCCAGTCAACGTCAAGTGCAAGTTGACCTTGCCGCACAAGGAAGTGTTTGTGGCTGCCTCCTACCTTGAGGGGAGTGCAGCAAGATGGTTAAGCGGGCTAGTGCAACTTCAGGGGTACGGTCATGACTTCCGCGCTTGGGCAGTCAACCAAAAACTGGAGGACTTCCTTAAGCTGGTGGAGGAAAGGTGGCATGATCCTCAGGAGGCCCAAAAGGCCACTAACGTGATCCTGCCTCTGAGCAATAGATCGTTCAAGTCAGTTAGGGATGCCACAGATGCGGTAGAGTGTCTGATCTGTGTTCCTGGAGTTCGTTACGACCCCCAGGTCTTACTCACTACTTATCTGAGGTGTCTTCCCATGCCCCTTAGAAATCAGTTGGCGGGTGAGGCAAACATCAATGTGCGCAACTTTCCCTCGTTTAGCAAGAAGGCCCTAGACCTAGATGCAAAGATAGGGCATGGGCACCAACCCACTACGGATGGTAGGAAGAAAGCACTGCCTCCCAACTGGAAGGCGAAGGGTCGTATTATGTTCGTCGACAACGATGGTTCCACCATCGAGTTGGATGACGACTTCCAGGAGGGAGTGGGTTCAGAGGCGAGCAGCGTAGAAGCTTCAGGGGGTGGAGCGGTCGCTGCCTCAGTACAAAAAGGCAAGTCGACCGGTAGACGCCGTCGAGGTTCCCGGTCTAGGAGTCAAGTGGACCCTAACGCCCCTCCATGGGAGAAAGCGGGTTCCGCAGAGGATGTGGAGAGACTGGTATACCAGCCAGGCCTGTATTCGTTGTGGTCAATATGGCCATAACCAATTCAAGTGCCGCAACAAGAAGGTGACCGAGAAGATCCCACCTACGATGGGGCAGGTGTTGGGATCCTCGGCTCTCATAGGTAGCAATGTGGCCTGCAGTTCTGGCACTGCTCCGGGAAACACGTCGGGCCAGTAGGAATAGTAGTTGTTCCTGCTAGGGTCGAGGCGGTGGACACACCCTCACCATCTCGAGAGATGGCCCAAGCTACTGACTCCATCGTCGTCCCGCAAACACATTCGGACCCAGCGATCCTCTGTTCGCTGAATGTGTTTGAGTCCTTAAAGGAGCTAGAGGAGAGGTGGTCTAGATCGGACCCACTAGCTTCTTGGACGTCTATGGCCAGAGCCCCTAAGGGTGAGTTGTTCGTCGGCGAGGTAGTCATCGGCGGCTGTAAGGCCAGGGCCTATTATGACACTTGCTCGACGTGGAATTTCATTAGTCGTGCGTGCGTTGAGAGGCTGCGCTTACAGGGGCAAGTGCAACGCCTGAGTCGACCTGTGCCAATAAACAGCGCATGGTAGTCAATGACTACCTTAAAGACATTGAGTGTCTTTTCCCGTACGTGGGAGGGGAACTGAGACATCGAGTCTCGTTCCTAGTCATCGATGATCTCCCTATGGATATTTTGTTAGGTATGTACTACCTCTCGGTTGCACAACCCCAGTTTGACTGGGACCGAAAAATGGTCAAACGCACACTGCCTGGAGGGGGGACCGCCAGATTACGTAAGTTCAAGGCTAGTAGTCCGATCGAGTCCTACGAATGCATATGTGCGGTCTCATTCTACAACTATTATAAGCAAAATCCAGAGGAGGGTATGTACTTAGTTTATGTCTCTGCTGCAGGCGAGCCGATGAAAATGTCGCCGAAGATAGAGGGAGTAGTCGCTAAATACCCTGATCTATTCGAAGAGCCGAAAGAGGTTGTTGAGAGGGAGGTCGTCCATGTGATAGAGATTATCCCAGGGTCTAGCATTCCGAAGGGTAGGATCTATCAGAAGGGCTCTGCGTAGAATGCGTTCTTTACAGTGATGGCATTAAGGCCCCTATAATCAATGCACATCCTCAAGGTTCCCCCCTTCTTCGGTACAAATAAGACTAAGGATCCGTAAGGGGAGACACTAGGCCGGATCCAACCCTTCTCTATGAGTTCTTTGAGCTGTCGACGAAGCTCATCAAACTTCCGTTGCAGAAACAGAGGGCATCTGGGAACGAACTGCCCCCAAAACGGGGATAAGGGAAGAAAAGTTGTCCTCAAACAATCAATGTTGGTAGAATGCGATATAAAACCAGGGGTATGGTACATCAAAGAAGCCCAGTACAGAGGCTGGGTATTCGATGACAACCTAGAGACCCCCAAATGGATTTGGGTTCTCAAGGGAGAACCCAAACTCAAACCAGTCATCTACCCGTCGTACAACAGTAGATGGAGAGAGGTGGGAGCTAAACGAATGGAAGACAAAAACAAAGGATACATAACAAAACATATCATCAACGAATCAGGCCTGCTAGATGAGAAGCAGAGAATGAAATCAATGAACGAGCTGCACACAGTCGGACAAAATGTAGAAAAAGCATATTTGGAGAACAAGAGAGCCATAACCAACCCGGACTCCTGGCAAAGCTCAGCGAGCTCCATTCCAAGAGCGTCTTCAGCCAACGCAGAAGACAAGGATAGCGTACAAGTTGACAGATCTCTCAAACGTAAAGCAGATGAAGGGGAGGCTGAATCCACTACAGCTTCCTCCAGAGTCCAGTATGGGGAAACAACGAACAGTGGGACTAGCCAGCGCTCTATTCAGCAGTACGGGGTCAACAGACAGCAAGCCGAGCGGACAGGTAAACAACTCCAGGGGAGGAACTCCACCTTCCCCAAGAGAAGGCACAACAACGGATATGGACGAAGATTGCTCACAAGGATCAAGGAACAAGGACTCCATGGACTGCACACAACAGGCAACTACATCGCACAACAAAGAAGACACAGAAGGAAGCATGAAAAGAACGAGAACTGATATACAATCCAGCGATCCGGAAGAATCGGATGGAGGAGAGGACGCAACAAGTGAGGAAACGGACAAGGAAGACACAGACATGGAAGACGAAGATGACACATTGTCTCTCGATTACGTCTAGCAGTATGTGCACTCGCTGGAGAGGGACAACACAGTGGAATTCGAGGTAAGACTGGCTCACCACAAACACCTAAGAAACCTCAGAGCAGCAACCCAAGTGGCAAATGACATAACACTGGAGAACAAATTCGAAATTTTATAGAAGGAGAGGGAAATCAACGAATTTATTGCGGTTCAATACAGCCTGAAAACCAGGGTGGAAAATAACACAATCAGGGTGGACCCAAGCAGGTATGAACAGAGATTCAAATGGCCCAAATCCTACAAGGAATAAACATCCGATAAAAGGGCGAAAAAGTGCCCAACCAAGGAGGGCCATGGCTCCACGACAGTCTAGGAACAAGACACAGAACCACCACCACAGGACTCAGAATCCACGGAAGAGCTCAGAAGACAAACAACCATCTTGGAAGCACAAGTGAACGTGTTGAGAGATCAAAACAAGGAACTAGATGAGAGTTGTCTCAATCTTAAAGACATTGCATCAGGCCAACACAAGGAGATAGAGGTTGTATCCAGGCTCGATGCAAGGTCCGGCCCCAAACACTTATCCCATACCGGTGGAACAACACATACGAAACATGGGAGATTGCTTACCACAAATCCTATTCCCTGATCTCAATCCTGGATCACAAACTCACAAAGGACTTACTCCAAGAATGCATAAACGAAAGTATACTAGAGAGGACGCAGATTTTGGGAACCAAGGAAAAGGGATGGGAAGAATGGAAGGGCAGTGAGGAAGAGACACAGACGACTGATCTCAGACCGCTATTGATGGAACTGGAAGAATCAACTGAACTCAAGGGAGATCTTTGCTGGGTCCCGTGGGAGGTAGTAGAATCGATACCCTACGGCCTGCTAGGAGGGGAAGTTGAGGCAGAAAGAGCAGCCCAGAGCTCAGTGCTAGTTACAACGTACAGAGTGTTCAACACGTCACCCAAGACCCTTAGACAAAAACTCCTGGGAACGGTCTCAACCGAAAGAGACCAAGTACCAGCTGGATCTAAAATGTATGCACAATAATACAAATGGCTCAGAGGACCGCACTGTTCTAAAACCATGGGGGACAGCATAGGGAACAAACAACACACCCCAGGCCGCAGAAAGTGGGGCCTCCGCAAGCGGGAGCTGGATTTGAAAATCATGTCGTGGAATATTAATGGCATACCTTCCCTCTTGGCCAATCAACGTAAATGGGATAGCTTCTTAAAAGAATCGAACTGGTTCGGAAAGTCACCACCCGATCTACTGTGTATTCAGAAAACCCACTTGACAAACTCAAATGAACACCAGTCTATCTAAGGTCAATTAACTAAAAAACTTAGATGGGTTAAGGAAGTATTATGGGCACCGTCCCCCCACCCGTACACAACAGCCGTCGCTATTTTGATCCATGCTTAAACCAAAGCTTCAAGCAAAATACTCACAACCTCGACAAGGACAGACTCTCAAGAAGGCAGATGGGCGTAACTGAATTTCCAGTTTCTAGAAGGACACTTCAGACTAATCACCATCTACTGCCCGAACTCACTTACCCAAAGGAGAACTTGAAGGTTCCTAGAAAACCTTTCCCCTAGATGCGATCCTCACACACACATGATCCTAGCAGGGGACTGGAACGCCACGTTGGACTCAACAAAGGACCGCATATCATAAGGCCAAATGGGTACAAAGAGCATAGCCTGGAATGAAGCACTCCCAATTCACAACCCGATGACGACAGAGTTAAGCACCCGGACAACAAAGAGTTTACATATATCAAAAGAAACCGAAGTCGGGACATTTCATCCTCAAGAACAAATTTATTTTTAGTTACTGAATCACTATTGGGGACTATACTAAATTCCGAAATCGGAAGACTTCCTTCCTACATGGGCCTGGATCACAAGCTGACCACAATTTCACTAGGCATAGGCACCTCCCCAAATAGATGCCGCAATTTCTTTAAAATAAACAATTCACTACTACAAACACAAGAAATAAGGAAAGTCGTAATATTAGCCTGTATTAAACATGAATACTCCAACACAAAATTCCCCGACCTAGTCATGACCCTGACAGAAGCAACGACCAAATTCTCAAGGACCCTAGCAGCCAAAGAAAGGCAAGGGAAAAGGAACTACAAACGGTAGTAAAAATAGCGGAAAAGAACCTCACAAGCAATCCAGGTCATAGCCTATACGAAAGAGTATTCGAGCACACCAGGCAGGAAATATCGGAATGGGAAGACTGGAGAAACAAGGGACTGAGAATGTGAGCAAGAATAAGAGAATGGGAAGAAGGGGAAAAAATGACAAAAAAAAAATTCCACAAAATCAAGACGAATGCCAATAACACACACACCGACCAACTACGAACGAACCAGGGCTTAACATGTAATCCACAACAAATGCTAGAATCGACAACGGCCTTCTTTAAGGACCTCTACACGTCCAAGGGACAAAACAGTCAACAACAAGAAACAACGCAAGACAGAAACAAGTTCCTTACCTATCTCGATAGAACTATCACAGCCGAACAAGCTGCAACACTAGACACCCCAATCACAGAATAGAAAGTTTATGAAGCACTGTGATCGATGAGACCCAATAAAACGCTAGGTATAAATGGCCTCTCCAAAGAATTATGGATGACCTTCTGGCCAGCGCTGGGGACAGAGTACGTCCAATTCTTGGAAAGAGCGTGGGAGGAAGAAACTTTAGGAACTCTACAAAGTACGGGGGTGGTCTCTCTCCTATACAAAAGAGGCGACCCGACAAACAATAAGAACTATAGACCAATCTCCCTCCTAACAGTCACGTACAAAATCCTAGCTAAATTACTAGCCAACAAAATCAGATTAATAACAGGAAACTGCTTTCACCTGGATCAGACCGGATTCATACGAGGCTGATTCATACTGGACAACGTTACGACCCTCTCAGAGTCAGTAAGATACATTAAAGACAAGAGAATGAACACACCCATATTATTCTTCGACTTTGCAAAAGGCTATGACCAAGTCAACTAGAACTTCCTTCAACGAAGCATGGAAAAGATGGGGCTAGGTCCAAACTTAAAGAAATGGGTCAGAATCCTTTACGCGGATGCCCACAGGAGTGTGCAAGTCAACGGGCATATCTCTCAGTCCTACCACATGTCACGTTCAGTACGAGAGGGGGACCCACTGGCAGCATCTATTTTTCTATTCATCATGGAAGCCATAACATCATTCCTACGTAAGGACCCCTCGATAGAGAGACTCATGGAGGAGGGGCACCACACGATAAGCCTCCCCACCACCATTCTTTTCGCCAATGACTTAACAGTGTTGATACGGGATTCAGACTCTTCTTTCGAGGAGCCGACGCGAGCAATGCAAGCATTTCAAATAGCTTCATAAATG